TTCTATATGTTCATAAAAATCTTGACTTATTTCCAAAAAACAGCAATATTCATAATATTAATACTAGATTTAAAGACAAACTTGCTGTCCCCAAGTATCGTTTAGAAAAAGTTAATAGGTCTTTTATGGGAATAGGTATAAAAATTTACAATAAGATACCAAAGAATATGTTGGAATTACCCTTAAATAAATTCAAAACATCTGTTAAATCATATTTACTGAGCAAAGCCTATTACTCACTAAACGATTACTTGAATGACGAGTGTGCATGGCAATAGTTGTTCATGCACTGAATTTTCATTTAATGTTAGACATAGACACCTATATAAATATACATTGTAAATAAACTGGCTTTAAAAAAAAAAAGTAATTCAATTGAGTTTCTTGCCAGTTCTTCTCAATTGGATCTATATACCGAACTGGACGGTAGGGTAAATATAAAATTATAATGTAAAAATTTGACGTTCATAAGCGGCTAAAATGTCCTACATGAATAAATGATTTTTGAATTCTGAATTTTGAATTTGAATTTTGAATAAATAAATGGGAAATGTACCAATGTCGAAGTCCATATTTCTGAAGAAATCATACTAGAAATTAAGGCTATATTTAATATATTTCGCAATTTATGTACTGAGCCAACTTAAATTCTTGATTCTAGAGAATGATCTGCTTACATGATTGTAGTAATAGGTAGGTACTAATATCAGTCATTAGTCGGTAAATGAACATAACGATGTCCCACTATACTACATTACTGCATTACACGAGTATTATCTGTGTTATTGCTTACAAATTACCATCATAACATGTCTATTTAAGTTGAATAAATTTGCATTTCATGCTGTTATTATTGTTTTCATGCTATTATCTTCATATTAGAAATCAGTATTTTAAAATTGTACTCAAAATAATATTAAATGATTAGATGTAGTTTTACAAAGTTGAATGATAATTAATAATAAATTTACTGGAGCAATAAATTATTTTTATATAATAAAAGTTTCATGTAACTTGTCTTTACAGGTTCCACTATCACAACATAATTCTAAATGAGAACAATCGTATTCGAAAAGATGATAGGTAGATTCTCAGTGTTTTATGATATCCATGAGATTTATTACATTTTTGGGTGACGATTACTATTTTCCATCACATAACCCGCCAACTAGTTTGGCATTCTAAGTCGAGTTTTCTTTTATATATATGTATATAGCACGACATGTGACCCTACCATCCTAAGCGAACAACGTAGGCATTGAATACGATCAATCATAAAGAGAATGTAGATACTCTCAACAGTTAGTTGGTTATAGCTATTAATAATTATTACAACTCGGAAGATGAATAAACTAATAGTACGTAATTATTATTACTGAACTAGGTTTTATTTTGCTGAAGTCCATATCACTGATTAGTTGTTCAGAATAATTTAATTATTATTTTTAAATTATTTATTTAATAAATATTCTTGTCTTTTAATTTCTGTGTAGAAGGAACTATAGAGATAATCTATGGAATAATTTGATAATATAATATACTAATTTCATGCACATAACTAAAAAAAAAAAATATGTCGTTCTCCATCCCAAATACTACACATGTATCAAATTTTATGACGATTATTAAAATTATTTAGGCCCTAACAAGTAACGAAAAAATAAATAACCTACTTTCGTACTTATAATATTGTTAAAAATTATAATCTTTTTGTTTTTATAATCACCCAATGTCCAATTGGTTCCACAATACATCACCAATACATGAATAAGCCAAGGTTTCACATTATTCTTTTGTGATGTCACAAATAGCCACGCTCTCATGCATGGAGGACTCTATGTTTTATTATGTAGTGAATGAACCATTCCTTCACTGACTAATACAATAGTTTAAGTTAAATTTCTCAAATCAATATTCCGTTCATTAGGCATACAGTTTTCTTTACAACTTGTAGGTATACAATATATAACAAGAAGGATAGATATACCCGTAATAGTCTTTAGCTGGGGGGAAAGGAATTGTTAGCAATGGAGTTTGACAGCCCCATTGTTAGGAATATGTTCTATTAGGTCGACCTGCACGTGGTTCCCCCTGGAAACCATCGTGAAGAATTTTTGTTGAATTCGTCATAATGAGCTAATTTACCTGCTTCATCCTCATCTATCATCCTTCACTGGTGCCCCGCCGGTGTATGTCGATAGCGCAGGCGGGGTTACCTTTCCATTATCACCCATAAAAAAAATAGTCTGTAGCTGCGACTTCATCTGCATGATCGGGATATATTGAGTGACTGAGAATTTGGTAGCTAATAATCTTGTCTGTCGTATATCAGATTTCATGACGATTAGCATATTTATAATTTAATTTTTTTAAATTTAAGTATTTGAACATAGTAAGGCTTTATTTATTGCTTATTCTTGATCGTTATACTTATTTAAACATTTATAGGAGTAAATACTGTTTGCTTGGATATATAATAGAAGGTAATTTGACAACATTCAATTTGAATATAATGTACTAGATGTAAATGCTACTTATAGAATCACTATTTTAATTTTTTGACAATATAACACTAATATAAAGTATTAATATAAAAAAAAAAGTCAAGATGCGAGGCATAAAAAATTACACAAAAAACAACAGATTCATCTTAATTACGCACTCATTTCTAACAATTCTATGTTGTTTGTACAGTTAAACCTGTCAAAATTTCAACATTTCTCACAAATATAATTTTTTTTGGGGTTTCTATTAGGTGGATAGATAGATGGTAGCATGTATGATGAGACGGTAGCATTGTGATATTCCGATTGCAAATTGTGTGTTTACTTGTCTTTCACAGCTGTAACAACCGACTTTTATATATATATATATATATATATATATATATATATATATATATATATATATATATATATATATATATATATATATATATATATATATAGACGTTGATTCAATCTGTCTTATTTACGGTGAATTTATAAAAGTAAAAAACTTGCTTTATCCTCAAATTCGAAACTGCGAAGCTGACGGGGCTTATTTTAATCTCAAAATCCAGAATCAAGAAAAGGGTTTGCTTATGTTTATTGCAAAAATATGAATAAAAGGTAAGAAAAGCAAATTCTAAATTTATAAAAAAGAACGTGTAAATATTTTGTTATAGAATTTTTTATACATAAGCCGTATATGACAGTAGATACTCTTTCAATTTATTCTCATAAATCAAACTAGTATTCCAAATATGTTGAAGTTACTCTAATTGTTTTTGGTATTTAGGGCCCGTTATCAAAGAGAAAAATTACATATTAAGTTTATAGCGCCAAGACTTTGAAAGGAATCTGGCGATTATGTCCAAGATTAATATATTCATATCGTTAGTCCAAGTAAGCGTCAATCTGGTAAAAATATTGGAAAGATTTTTACCTAATCTTCCTTCGACGTCTTCTCCAATACCCTATGGTGAAAATTTTCCCGTTCCATTCAAAACTAAATAAATTTAAAATTCTATCGTCGAAAAGTTTAACAGAATTCAGTACTAACACTACTACAATAGTAAATTTGTGATAAAATTTACGTTTTCACCAAGATGTGATGGACTTTGAGCGACGTTATCAAGGGCAGTACAACTACAATATGATGGGAGATGACATTTGGGGATTAATACGAGAGGGCCCATACAAACATAAAAGGTCCACTAAAAATATTCATGTGTGAACTTGATTTTTTATTATATTACACTTGTACGATATTATTTATCACAATTCTTGAATAAAAAATACTTTTATGTTCAGAAAAAACTTTTCTAATCCTAATTAAAAATAACTGAAAATATCTGATTTTTACATCCAAAAATTGCTTTAATTTCTACAAAAGCAAACTTTGATCAGTAAAAATATTTTTTTCTTTATTTATAACATAGAAGAAACCAAAATTTCATATGCAGAATGAGCAGAAGCTAGACCCAAAAATCCTTTCCAAAAATCAAAAGTTTCATACTAATCAGATTGCCATCATCTCATGTCCTATCCCGAGCTAATTATTTATTTCCTATAATGTTAATTCGGGACTATTTTAGGTGTAAGTCATATATAATATTATGAGAATATAACTGTCAATTTTTTTACATCCGTGTGATGAAGTCAATAGGAAACGTTATTTTATTACGTTATTCAAACAGAATTTATAAAATTGTTATCTAAATCACTTAGCAAAATATGTAGACCTTCGTTAAATATATTTTATAATATAAACTGTAAGATTAAAGAAAAATACATTTAGATAATATGTATTTTCTTTTTTTCAACAGACTAACAACACGTTTTAGAACACACGAGCAGACGAGGTAGCGGCAAATCTCAAAATATCGTGTTATTGCAGCTCAAAAGTTCAGAATATATAAAACTAAAAATGTCTGTGCCTCATAATGCATAATTTTTTTTACTAACAAAAGTAGATGAGCAGCAAATATTGTTTATACCTTACACAAGAATAGCACATTTTGTCTTACGTTAAAACACTATACATTTATCTGCAAAATATTGATTGAAAAATTGTTTAAACAATTTTAGTTATACGCTGATAATGTTGTTGACTGATATTGTGAAGCGTGCGTTCCGAAATCGGAAGTCAATCAATACCAACTTCAACGACAATCTAAAAGAAATGATTGAGGTTTAGTTTATACTTTATCTAAAGAAGACTTCTAACCTTGAAATAGTGTGTGACTGCCAACACTCGAAAATTGTAATAATGATAATAATAATAGCAGTCAATCTTGGAGCATTGGCAGTCGCATGCATATTAATGGTTGCGGAATTAAAATAAATAATTCCAATCAACCAACAGTTCTAAACTTAATACATAACCAAAGACAGTCTACTAAAGTGAAACTTTATGGACAACGTTTTACACAGTTAAAGTTTGATTAAAAATTGAGAGACATGAAGCCATGTACATATTCTTTATACCATATAAATGACGAGATTTCAAAGAATATGGAGCGAATAAATATTTTTTATTATCCTATAATACATTTTCATGATAAATCAATAATGAAGTATATTATTTATTATTTTTCATCATGTTAAAATTATCACAGAGATATCTACTTGCTAAATTAAATTATTAACAAATCAAAACGTTCAATTAATTAGAAGATTTTTTATTTGTGCCATTATTGAAAATCACCAAACTAGTCAATTATACATTTATTCACATTATAATAAACTTCTATTGAATCAAATTACAAGTTACTGTCATAATAATTAAGAGACAACCATCTTCTTTTTGTAAATCAAAATCTTTATTATTATACATATATGATTTTGGTGATTAGTCTATTACAAATAAGTTTATAAAATTGTACTATCAAGTACAAATTTATGGTTTCATAATTTCAACGAATATCATTGAAATAGCGGAGCTGCCTGCTAATAAGATACTTATTGTCTCGGATCCAGTTCTATAACCACACAATGACCTTTTAAATATTTTAATAACAATTCTTTCTTCAAATTCTTCAATGTCTGCCTTCAACTAGCTGAGACGATGCGTACTATTTACATTTATTCTTGGAATATAAAATTTTCGGCTTCTTATTATTTATACGAGTATAATTCAATGTCCTGTAATGGACATAAATGTATTCCAAGGATTGTCCATTATCTGCGCCGTCTACAGACTTCGCTGCCATTTAGAAGATCATTACCTATACGTATACGCGGTTATGAGACTACATAATCATTTAAAAATGGGTTTGTCGCATTACTCTTCCTGCCATTAAAATAGCTTTTAACTGCGTATTCTTATAATTATATCTGATTTTGGAGAGAATATGGGAATTAGATTTGCGGAATCCAAATTCTCACATTCAGTATTTGAAATTCATACATTTCATTCAGAACTCAAAATTCGAGCTCGGAACTTTTACAGAGCATAAAAATTATTTCTTTATTATTATTTTTTCTATTTATTTATTAAAGATTTAAGGATATATGCTATTAAATACGTATTGACTTGTCACTTGTGGATTTTTTCCCAAAATTTTCGCCTTCTTCTAGTGTATTCATTAACTCACAATTTTTTGTTTCGGGCAATAAAAACGTTGTAAAACCAGCTATAAGTGGTAAAATGGCAAATACAAGTGGTGGTAGCCAAACGGCAACGTCTCCTAAGCTAATAACAAAAGGAGCTATCATAGACCCCACTCTAGCCATCATAGATGAGAATCCAACAGCAGCATTACGAACTACTGTCGGAAACAATTCCGTACAGTATAAATATACAACAACAAAAACTATAAAGCTGGCGACAACACCAATACTCGCACAAATAACAGTGCCTATACCTCCAGATAACATAGGGAGAATTAACAAACAACAAGCACAAATAAAGTTGAAAGTTATGACTAGAGTTCGTCTGCCAAATAGTTTTAAGAGTGGTATTGAAAGTAGAGTGCCAAGGAGTGTTACGCTAGCACTAGCGGCCACATTCAAGAAAATGTTACCACTCAGCTGGCCCACGTATTGCGAAACACCGTAAAAGCAATAACTGCAAGTTAACCAGTTAAATGACATTGCCATTATATTCTTCCTAAGGTTTGGTGTTCTGACTAGATCAATGAGAGTTCCTTTTTTCAGTTGTGTCTTCTCTATCGCTTTCTGGTGATTTTCCACCTCGGTTCTTATTTGTTCAGTTGGTCGACCGTTTCTGTAAATAGAGAAATTTATATAACTTACATACATATATACTTATTTTAAAGGGACTATTTCTATATTATTTTGATGGAGGAAAATATAAAATATTTAAAGAAATATATATGTATAAGTAAGCAATATATATTGAATTATAAATGTACATCATAGAGATCAAAGAATACTTGTAGTAGTTTAACATACGAATAGTGTAACTTTATAGGTACTTATTAATCAATTTACAGTAAATAATTAAAACTTTATTTTCAGCAAACCAACTTAGATATACAAGCACATTTTTTACTCTCCTCTTTTTTCTATAATTTCATTATATATACATTTATCAAATCAATTTTCCCTTATTATACACCTACAAGTTATTGTTGTCAATACAATATATGATAAGAGATGTTAATTATCATCCAAAAACAATGTACAAATATACCTATAGGTAAGTGTATAAAAGATGCATTATATTGAGTTTATTATCTTATTAAAGCTAATAACAATAATACACTTACACTTTTGCAACTCGTTCCAAGATATGGATAGACTCTTCAGTTCTCTTTACGGCTATTAACCATCTTGGTGAATTCGGTAAGAGAAAGAAGTAACATAACAGGAGTATTGTTGGGATTGATATAGAAAGTTGAAAGTGTCTAAAATCTCTAAAAAAATAGCTAAAAACTGGCAGCAACATATGACCCATATTGAAAGGGACTTGATAGAGAGCTGAAACTACGTCTCGGTATTTTGTACCTACAAACTCCATAACAACGACGAAACCTATCACCATTGTTCCCCCAACAGATGCACCAATTAAGAAACGGACTAATGTGAAACTCCAATATTCGGGCATAAAAGCGGCCGCTATACCCATCGTCACTTGCAGTACCACAGCTACTAATAAGGGTATTCTTCTTCCAAACCTTAAACAATATAGTGACAAATATTAATACAACACTAATTTAAATATTTTTATTTAAGTAGATATAGTAAAAAACAGACATAGATGGAGACAGACGTTACGTTAACGTTACATTAACAGAGTTACGTTATAAATGAAAGTAAAACAAAATACAAATTAATTTACCGACTTTTAAAGGCAAACCATATTACCTGTCGCCAGCCATTCCAAAAAGGACACTGCCAATTAATGTGCCCAGTTGAAACAAAGTTTGTGCAAAACTCGTCAACCATTTTTTGCTGCATATTAAATCAAAATCAGATACCATCGTAGTCGAGAAGATAGTTTTATCGTAAGATGGGTTCAAACAAGGGCATGTGTTATTCGTATTTGTATCGGTGCAAATATATGACACCTTTGGAGATAAAAATATAATGGCCATTTGATGGAATGCAACAGGAAATTTATTTATAAATATTAAAATACACAGCCACAACTGATATTTGCCAAATGATCCGGTTATCCTGAGAATTACATCTTTTTCCTCCGTTGTGGTAATCTTTTTATTATCTGAAAAGGACAAAATTCTAGGTTTTAATATATATTAATCGGAAAAAAAGCATTTTTAGACACAGAAAGTACGTTACTTGTTACATTTTTATTATTTTTTTTATAATTCATATTTTTTTAATTATATTATAATATCGACCATTGTTATGTAGTTTTGATTTCTCCATTATATATATTCACAGTTAAAGCTACCAAAACTCTTCATTCATTCACACTCGATTTCAAACTTTATGTATTTTAGATGGGAATTATGCAAAATATTTAAAAAATTACAGTAATGATAATGACCACTTTTTAATATAGAGATCATCATAATATCAGACGTTAGCTGTTCACTGATGACGTCTGATATTGACGTAGACCTCCCCCTTGGGAGGATTTTACCAGTAGTTGTCACGCTTGGCAGGCGGGTTGGCAACCGCCGTTAAGCTTTGGCGATGCTTTAAATGGGCCCATATCTCGACCGTTAAAGCCCATTAGTCGCCTCTTACGACACCCACAGGAAAAAAAGGGATGGCGCATTCTATATCGGGGGCATACGACAAATAAAGTTTTACAATAAACACAAATTGATAGTTTGCATTTCTGTAAATGTTCATTATTGTAAATGTTCATTAATAGCAGTCATCTTGATCTAGAAATCTAGTTAATTAAGAAGGGAGTAAATAGGTCTGTATTTAGGACATTCTTATCAAATAACCGAATAAAAATTACGCACTACTGAAAAATTATTTTATCTTGACTACGTACGACATTGTGAAATTTTCATGACTTAAAAAATAACGTAAAATCGTGTTGTTTCTGCCACCAGTCCATTGATATTACCTGCTATAACCGAGGGTCAGCTGGTATTGAAAGCATCTTTGCACGTTTAACTTTATACCTGTTTATTTTTGTTTTCATTTTCCTCTTATAAGACCTAACAATATGTATACATAAATACAGACTCAAGTGTACTTTCATAAAACTATCAAAACATATAATATGTATATAATTAACACCGTTTTTTATGCAACTTAGAATGGCAAACAAGCTGACGGCCCACCTGATGGAAAGTGGTAATCATTGCCTATAAACATGAGCAGTACCATAAACATAACAGGGTATACTGTTTCACCCATGGTACCCCCATACGTTGCCATTCCTAAGGACTCAGATGTTATTCCTCTGTACCCTATAAATTCACTGCCAAAACCCACCCTACAAACCGAAATACAGCCATACAAACACAACTACTTCATCGTAGTAACACGAATGGGACAGAGGTGCCCAAGTAAACGAATAAAAACCGTCTTCGAATATCTCTGCACATCCTAAAGTTTAACTGGTAGAATGTCTATAGCATTAAGTCCGCTTTTTGTACCTTATTACATTTTATTGGTTAAGTTTAAATAAATATATAGTTATATTAGAGAAGTGTATTTCATGAGTGCTTCTGTTTTTTACCATAGCACGGTATGATATCGTTTGTTTTACTGTCATAATGTAATACAAACTGCACAAATGTAATACCTGCAAATGTTTAGATAAGATACTTTTAAATTTTTGTGCACAGCGTGGTGTATTATCATGTCGTTCACGTTCATGTTATTGTCACTAGCAACAGTACCATAGAATAAAGATTATTTTTTTATACACCTAGTTTTGATTAGTGTATTTCTTAAATACATTACTTTGTATGCAGTCGTTTCTATTATGCCATACATTCAAGTACTCTCCTTTAGAGTAGAAACATATGACCTCTATTTGTACTACCTTGGCATTCATGGCAGCCTTCGAGGTCATGCTTAGTACAAACGGTGTCATTACAGTAATAATTTGCAAATCCAATTAAAAATAGTAGTAATTATTAACTTTATATGCACAGTTAAATTCAAGATATAACAGTTTTTAACAGTTTGATGACGTGTAATAAGATTCTTCATCTTATCATGTGTTATTATTTTATGATATTTATATAATAATACTTTAATTAGGTATCATATACTTTATAACGTGCGTATCTAACCTAGTCTGCAACCCATCTACGAGTAAATTGTAAAATAGTGCGTGACAGTGACGTAAAAATTTTCTATAAAAAAATTATGTTAAATTTCCTCAACATATATATAAAATCTTAAGTATATTAGATAAGAAAATTTTAACGATGTCTCAAACTGTATAAGATGTTTAATAATCAGAATTACTTTCATATTTGTCACAGTTTTTTTTATCCTTCAGATATATAAATGTTATACATACTCGTGCTAACAAAGCTATATCTATGTTATGTAATGTAAATATAATATGTGAAATAAGTAAACAATATGCAAATTGTTTACTTATTTCACAGTAGATATCCCCTCTCACCGTACTGGTTTCATATCGAATTCTTTTGTCTTATATTCTTCACGGGTGTGGAACGTGCTCCCTGGTACCGTCAAGACACTTCCGACTAGATCGTCATACAAAAAAACGTTTATGTTCACTTTTATACTTTATCCGAGCAGTAAGTATTATTCTCATCGTCGTGTATAATGTAGAATATTTCATATATGTGTAAGAATATTTATAAAATTATATATATATATATATATATATATATATATATATATATATATATATATATATATATATATAAGTCCGTGTTACCACTTTCTGTCAGGTAGGCCGTTGGTTTGTCATTTTAAGTTACATTAAAAAACCTACCTATATTACATTAAATTCTGGCTATTATGGAAATTTTATCCAACATCGATATTTCAAGATATACATATCCATCATGGTTCTTTATCGCTTATTTAAAATAAAGTATGTCTCTATATAAAGAAGCCGCTGTGCCGGAGACTATATTCACATTGATGGTATTTATCAATGACGTTGACTTAATCAGATTATTTGCCATTCCCTGTAGGTAATGTAAAATTACTTTATATGCAAGTCGTATAAGAATGACGAAATAGCTATAAACAAATTGAATAAAATACTGAATTTTAGATTTACCTACAACAAATAATTAATTCGATTTCGATCACAGATATCCACTCCCATGAATACCCGTGCATTTAGAATAACACTATGCTACTAAATAACTAAAAACAATTATGCTGTTGTGGATAATAAATAAATTGACAGCACTTCTGATGAACAGTGATCTAGATATGAACAGTTGTCTCAAAAATAAATGGCACTATGAACATCACAGAACACTTACAGACTACATGAATATATCCTCATTTTAGAATCCTTATGACGATTAAGATATTATGACACCATACTCAATAATTTCACTTTAAATAATTTTTATTTTAATTTACTGTATAAAAGACTTAATAACAATGGTTACTAATTATATATCGCCTAATATGTTATGTTACTTGATATTTTTAAATATACCTAATGTTCTATACTTAAAAATAAAGGTATTCAATGGAAAACACCATTTTAAAATGCAGGTGCTACCTACTTGATACGTGAACAAATGCAACTACCTATAATCGTACAGACCACGTTTTTGCTCTACTGCCCGTGGCGATTCTCAATGACCGTAAAATAGTGCTAATGACCTTATTTTATAGCCTTAATACGCTATCGAACTTTATGAGGGAGATATAATATTCTCAGTAGATTAACATTTAAATCATTTTACGAAAACATCGACGCACTTTTAATGTCCTTAATTATAAAATTTTACTACACTTTATTACGAGTATAACTTAAGAGTAGTAATAAATAGTAAGACCGCTTTCTACTCTGTATTCATAACTCTAAGTTAAAAATAGCTTAAGAACCAGGCAATTGATGTAATTTAGTGGAAATTATTTATTTACTAGTTATTTTCCGTAGTTTTGTCCGCATGAATATGTACATAAAGTATTTTAAGTATTAATATAGGACCTATACGTGTAGCAAATCTGTGTGTGTGTAATTCAAATCTATTCAGGCATGAACCATGAGATAAACATGAGGTAAATAAACACAAAACAATTAAGACATACAAACATCTTTATAAACTTCCTTTATAATATTAATGGCATTATTACTACTTACTAATTTCGTTTTAGATTTCATAATCTTGTTATTTATGACCCTACAACACTGATTTTTTTTTATTTCATCACAATAAATTGCTAGATTGTTATATCTATCACAACGGGGAATTTACCTACATCGAAACCTTGACAGTCAAGTTCAGGAAAAATAATAAAACAGTTTATTATAAAACGTTGCGTTAATACAATACAAATACACGTAACAGTAATATTATTACTATATTGCTGACCGCAAAATGGTTAGTTTATATATACACATTTTGCATTTTCTTTATGTTACAGGTAAACTCAAACATTCTGTATTTGTATTTAATGTTAAAAAATGTGTAACCATAGTTATCTATTGATTTTAACATTGTTACTATATTTAGTTTTGGTAAGTATCGTCTTTAAAAATTATATACAGCTAAATGTTAATTTGTATATTTTTTAATTTTTTCTTTACAAATAATGAGTACGTAAAAAAATTGTTTATTTGTTATACGTATTGTAATCGCTTAAAAATAAATACATGGAGAGATGTGTTATCATAAGAAATGATGACATCGAACTTTGAACTTTCTTTAGTGATATCATTTAACTTGATAGAACTCATTCATTTTATTGTTATTATAGCCACGGATGATATAATAGCTACTACGTAATTATAACTGTTTTTATCTCTGTCATGAAATCATTTATGTTTATAAAAAAGTAATTTAAATACGTATTAAAATATTTTCGTTAAATTATTCTCAGATAATTGTAACAATAAGATATGACTGTTATGATCAGTGACGTTACTTACACTATTTAATTGTGTAAACAAATTAAGCATTTAATATTTCGTAATTGTAATAACGATAACAATATAACGATGGACAATAATTTATTATTGTTCATGTCATAAGATAAAAGTAATAAAACTATAATACTTATATAACTAATAAATAAACTGTTTTATAAATAATAACTGACGAGCCTCCTTCC